TATTTCTTTTTTTTTGAAAAAGCCCAAAGGCTAATATATTAAATAAAAAGTAGGGTACAGATGGAGATTGCAGGAGGTCCCAAAAAATGGCACCAAGCCCACACAAAAACCACCATATTAAATGGTTCCAAAAAAAGGAGAAAATACAACCAAATACATAAGGGATCTTAATATAAAAAAAACTAACAAGTGCCAAAATAGGAGTATCAGATAGCTGGAGTGCGACCCAACTTTGCTTTGCCTTTGCCTTTGCCTTTGCCTCTAGTTCTAGGAAAGGAGCCAACCAATAAATTGGTTAGATGAGTGCCATTGCCAGTAGTGACCAATGTATCGTCCAATAGATTTCCTAGCTTGATTCATCCTCCGTTCTTCTTTTTCCGTCTCGTGCAGACCTGCCATTCCTCATCCGAAGGTTGACTCACCTGATTAGCAGAATGGTCTGAAGTGTGCATAATATGTGTAGGTTGTTGAACATTAGAGGCAAGTCCTTATTGTATTGGTTGATCTTCATTCTGGTCGAAAGAGCACTCTCGTGAGTCTTGGCATGTAGGTGGTCCTTCAATAACAGTAACTGGTATCAACACATATGGATCAGTACCTGTAGTAAGGTGTTCTTCATCTGGAACTGCGATGTTGGAAAGATGTTCGGATTGCACCTGCTCAACAAGGGTGTTAGATGACTTATCTTTAGTAATATTCGGCCTTAGCTGAGGATGTAAACGATAGTAAATAATAGAACTGTGGCCAAACATACTGCAATGAGAGCAATAAGGAGGATGTGATTTCACTTCAACCTTTTGCCAATACCCGTTGTGAATAGTGCCAATCCATATCTCATCCAGAGCTGTTTAAGTGATATCTCTATCAACTATCACATAAACCACAGAGGGTATAGTGACAACAAGCTTATGACTATCCACCTTGAGAGGCTTACCATAGACAGTTGCTAATTTTAATCCCGGAAACTTTATCCAGACATGAATGATAAGGGACTCCGCTTTTGGATCAAAACCGACAATTCACTTCAGAATTTTTATCAAACGATTGTCAATCTTGATAGCTTTTCGAGAAAAATGCAAGTGTAATCTGCATCATGAGATAGTTGAATAAGTATGTGTCTTCCGTCAAGTAGACCAATGTTCTAACTGTCCAATAACTTCATAGCGTCAAACTCCTTCCTAATTATCTCCAGTTTTCGGTGACCATAAAGGAATTTTCCCAGCAGAGCAAAATGCCAAGAAGACGCGAGAGTACCGATTTTAATCTTTGTGATAATAAGTACAAACTTCCCATTTTTTTTCCAAGCTTTTTAATAAAAGTGTGATCACCTCCACCTTTAAGAGTCTCGTGAAAAGATTCTGGAACATTGCAGGACTTACCGATAGCAAAACCAGACGTTGAACCTGGAGGGGAGGCACGAGCAGGAATCGCCGGCAAGGGCATTTGCATAGGAACGAAGCGTTGAGGCCATCTCCCTGACAAGATGGTCACAGTTAGGAGAGAAACAGTGGCGGGCCGCAAAGACGCGAGTAAGCCTCGGGCTCAGTTCGTTTGGAGCGAGACAACCGCAGGGAGAAATGTCGTCGACTACGGGAGACGATTGCGACAAAAAGTGCAGGAGAGACGCCAAAGACGACGACGACCGGATGATTCACGTCGACTATGGAGACGCTGGGAGCGTTCTAACTTCAACAGGAGAGACGCCGAAGACAGGGAGCTGCAGCTACGTTTACGGCATCGTGGGAGACACTGAATAGAAACGAAGAATTCGATAGGATCACCGCCGGGAATAGTCGCCATGGGCCAAAACCCTAGCAGAGCGTGCCGCTGCCGACGCCATGTATATTAATATATATTTGAAAAGCCCAATGGCTGATTTTATTGAAATTGGAAAGATACATAAGTGTTGTATGAGAGGGCCCAATAGAGGCACCATACCCATACGATACTAAGTACAATAATACCCAACAAAAAGATATAGATAGACTTAAAAAAAAAATAAAACATGCAGAAAACAAGTAGCTAGAGACAAGCCAGTTTAGTCCTGTCTCTTCCTCTTGTTTTAAGAGCGGAGCCAGATAACAAATTTTGAGGAGTTGTGCCATTAACAGGAGTAACCAAAGTTTCATCTATTAAGTTTTCAAGTTGGAGTGTGTCCCCAGCCTTCTTCTTCCGTCGAGAAGTGTAAACCTGTCATTCTTCATCTGAAGACTGACTCATGAAGAATGACTCATGTGATCCTCAGTTTGATTAAATAATATAATTTTAGTAGAAGGAAAGACTGTCGTTGCCACACGATAGGTTCTAGTGTATGTGAAGTGTGAATTGTCACCTCTGCACTTGATGCTTCTTGAATAGGGGCTATGGGGCATCCTGATTTTCGGTCCGAACATTATCTGTTGTAGTATGGTCAGGAGAGGGGATCTCAGGGGCAGACACCAACTCCTATCTTGGGGTGATTCCCTTCTCAGATTGGCTGTCATCAGGTTTTCTGGGAGCGCGTTCAAGCACGTGGGGTGCACTAATAACATGTTCCTGCTTTTGATTATTGGTTCTCAACTGTGGGTGCAATTTGAAACATTTTTCCTGTTGGTGTCCCAACATCTTGCAGTGCTTGCAGTAGTAAGGTTTTTGTTCCATAATGATTTTTTGCTCATAACCATTGTGAATAGAGCCAAACCAGACTTTTTATACATCTGGTAGTGTAATTTCTCTTTCAATTAAAATCCTTGCAGTAGAGTCTTGAGAAATGAAATGTAGGTAAGTCTTTCTGCAAAGGTTTTCCTATGATAGTCCCAATTGCATATAAGATAGGTAGGTCAAAGAATTGAAACTTGAGTTCATGTAATGAGAACCAGATAGACGCAATTGGGGGTTCTTGACTGGGATCAAAATTAGGGGTTTATTTGAGCAATTTCATATGTTTGCCCTCGATTGTGATGAATTTTCTTGGGAAAATCTGTGTAATATTTATTTATGCTCAGCTGTATCATAATATTTTTTCCGTCGAAAAGACCCACCTGTCAATCCTCAACCAGTTTAAAATCTTCAAAAACCTTCCTGATAATTTTCATCTGAGGACAACCTAATTGGAACTTTTTAACTAGTGTAAATTTGTATTTTCCTGCACGAGTTGAAATTTCAGCGTCAGAGAAAAGTATTGCTGGTTTGCCCGTCTTTTTCTCTACTTTTTTGATGACATTGTAATCTACATGCCTTGCAACAAAATCATGGTACATCTGCGGAAATATCAAACTATCTGTGAGGTGAAAATGGTAGCTGCGTTTGTGAACCACTGTAGCATAGGAGGGTTTGGCGGTGTTATCACCGGTGATGATGACAACGTAGGAAAGCCCTGAGGTCATTAGCATGCTTCACACAAGCACTACATAAATGGCGCAGCTTGCCAACTGCCACCTACGAAGGTGATGCGAGAAGTCGAGCAGGCCGAGCGGCTTTGACGTAGAAGACGAGCAGCTCGAGAACACAGGAGCAGGCTCAAAGCAAACGACGCAGTAGACGGAGTCGCGAAGTCGAGGACCGAAGCAGACGAAGTCAAAGCTGACAAAGTCACAGCAGACGGAGTCGAGAAGAAGAATTCGAGGCTGACAAAACATGACGAAGGAACAGACGAAGTCGAGCTGACGACGAAGGAAAGGTATTGATAGGTTGGATGAGAGGGCCCAAACTGGAACCCTAAACACTCGATATACAACAGACATCAAAGTCCCAAAAAAAGTACATGTATACCCAAAAAATAAAATTTTAACTTAGGCATAACTCTACTCTAAAAGTTTCCAAGACTCGGAGATTCAAACTTAAAATGGGAGCTTGAGAACTACCCAATGTATCCTTACCTCTTACCTCTGGTTCTAGGTAGGGAGCCAACTAACAATTGGTTAAGTCTACTACCATTACCCGAAACAATAAAGGTATCCTCCATTAAGTTCCTGAGTTCTAGTAGATTGCTATTCTTTTTCTTCTTCTTGGATGTGTAAACCTGTCATTCCTCATTCGAAGACTGACTCATCTGATCCATGAATTAGTCAAAAGATTGCCGGACATTTGTAGGTTG